TTGTTGATAGAATTTATACTTAGCTTTCTTTGTAGCATATCTCCTAATTGCATTAAATTGCTTCCTTCTCCCCTCCTTTCTCATCTTCCCTTTTCCTTTATTCCTCAACTCTATTTGACTTTCATTTCTAGGGTCCTTTCCCTCTACTAATGAATAACATAATTTTTTCCAACATTGCCCAACCGAGAGCTTTTGTTAAATCCTCCTTTAATAATCCTTCAATTTCCCCTAAACTATTTATTATTTCTCTTCCCTCCCTACTTTGTTTTCCCCGTTTACATATTTTCTCCACTAAATCCACTTCTGGGTGTCCTTTTAGTGGGAAAATCCTCTCTCTTGGGGGCGGAATTTCTAATATATTTACTCTGTCCTCTACCTCAGTCACTTCCTCCCTATCTCCTGTTACCACTAACTTCTTCTTTGCTAATTCTCGTCTTTTATCTGATATTTGTTTATTCGTTTTGGTCCTCATCTCGCTCTCAATACATTTATTTATATTCCTTTTCCCAATATATTTCCTTTCCAACTGTATAAGCTGCGCAACCTCATCTTTGGTCCATATACGAGATCTAGTCGATCCCTCTTTGATCTTACTTTTAGCAGCCATATCTTCTTTTCTTTGCTCATTCCTCACAGCAGGGTGTCTATGTCTACAGTGTTGGCTCAATCCAGATCTAGTATGAAAACCAAGCCCACAGACCGAGCACGTATGGCTCTTCATTGGGGTATCCGCCTTCTTGGGTATGCACTTGGGGTAGTGGCAAGCTATATTATGATATTGAGAAGATTTTCCACATTTACTACATACAACTCGTATGGCTTTACTTTTATGAACCACATTAATGTGTTTGGCCCATTTACCAAATGTTGGTAATATCTGGGGACATATTGGACAATTAAAACTATCAACGGGATACTCTAAATAAAAAACCCCATCCTTCCACGAACTACTTTCTAATATATTTATATTACTACCAGTACTGTTAAGATCCTTATTACGATCCCTATTAAAATCAGTACTTGGTCTAAAACTATTTAATAAACTAGACCCATTAACTAAATGAGCATTAAGATATCCCGATTCGCTAACATATGGATCATCAAATGTACTTAAGTACTTAAAATCTGGATTGAAACTTTCCATAGTTAAATCATTAAAAGTGTCCCTTGTAAAAACCATCGGTAAGATAGATAAAATCTCCTCACCATGATCATCACAAACATTCTCCTCTACCTCCTCTCCATGCTCCACTGGGAGGACTTGATTCTCACTCTCATGCTCATGAGACTTCATTATAGTCCACACCATTTTATCCATTGGTCCAGCGACCCTGATCACACCCCTAATATATTTAACACTGTCAGCCGGGGCATCAAAGCCAACAGCGGGGGCGTTATTAACCCGGTCCAGCGCCAATCCGGTATAAAAATATAAATTACTTTTTTCCATAGCTAAAAGATTTACCCTTTCCAGGGGGAAACTAACCCTTTCCAGGGGGAAACTAACCCGTACCTGGGGGAAACTTACCCTTTCCAGGGGGAAACTAACCCGTGCCTGGGGGAGACTACCCTTTCCAGGGGGAAACTAACCCGTGCCTGGGGGAGTCAACCCGTACCTGGGGGAGGCTACCCTTACCAGGGGGGCATCCATGTGGCACCATATGGGGCTGCCCAACCCCGTCCCACACCCCACTGAATGTGGGATGTGGGTTCGTCCTCCGCAATCCGCCTGGCTATCCAAGCCAGTTACCGGCTCTCACCACGAGGAGGTAGCGGTTGGACTTGCAATCCAGAGGCTTTCCTCAAAGAGGGGTCCCAAACAGCATAATGTCGAGCTCTAACGGGCGTGTGAGAAAAGGCTCAGATCTTGGTAGGGGTTGCCCCTATTGACCAGGCTCACGCCCACCCCCACCTCACCGATAACCCATTCTCTCACTACCCTCAGGCAATGTTTCCGTCCAAGCCCGACAGCTGAGAGGGTCCAGAGACGCATGGAGAGCCATTAAGAGAGCCATGCGGAACCTCCCTGTTCCTTGTCCCCTAACTGCCCCCCAGGACCCTACCCCCTACCTGTACCCTGACTGCCCAAAACCTTATCCACCCCCCCCCAGAAAGCCCTCCCCCCGAACTCCCGACCCCCCTGTCTCTTGACTGCCCCCTCCAAAACCTCCCTGCCCCTTCTCCGACCCCCTGGCCCCCTTGTTGTTGGCCTTCGCCTAACGTCTCTGTGAACTTGCTCAGGAACAGCCTGAGCCGTTCGTCCCGGCACGCTGGGCAGCATTGGAGGAGGAGCGGGGGAGGAGCTCCAGACTGCCGGAGGCGATCTGCAAATGCAGGGAGGGAGGGAGGGAGTGATCTCTGCTGCAGGGGAGAGGAGGAGGGGCTCTCTCTGGCTGTCGGAGCCCCATGTAAGTGGCACCATCTGGCCGGCTGCCCTGTTAGCCACGCGCGCTCTGCGGCGGGGAGGGGAAGTCCGGACATTTACAAATTCCCCCCGGACGCTATTTTTAGCTCAAAAAGCCGGACATGTCCAGGGGAATCCGGACGAATGGTAACTCTATAGTACGTTTATTCCCTGACATTTAAGTGTCCGTAAAATTTCCAAGTGCTGTTGAAAAGAAGTGCATATGTGGGCTGAGAGGCAGGGACTGATGAGATAAATTGAAATAGTGTGGAAGTATCAGAAAGGTTTTGGAGAAGAAACAAAATGTAAAGGTGGTGTCGGAAATGCAGTGCAAGGAAAGGTATAATTAGACTACTTATGAGTAAAAATATATGCATATGTAAGTCTTTGCAAGTTTTGGGCCCAAAGTTGCACTTCACTGGTTGAAATAAATTACTAATGCTGTTACAGTGCATTCTTTAACTTCAGACAAGTCAGGTAATTCAATTGAGATAACTGGTGAAACCTGTAATAACTTTACAGGTATTTAAAACTCAAATGGCTGCCACCATCATAAGTTTTAGCAGTGATCTAAGAAGTTGCGATCAACTGGAGAAAGTGGAAGGTTGACAGAATAGATAGGGAGGGAAAGGTACTTCAGTAAAATATCATTGCAGTGTTGATAAAACTACAACTTTACAATGGAATTTTAAAAAAAAACTATGAACTTGAGTCTGCACGCTCGTAGCTAAACATAGTGTTTCAGCCACCTACGAATCTAAGACTTTTGCTCTTTGAGAGAAGTGTTGCTTGCCCCTATTAAGAGAGATGCCAATCCTCCCTAATTTTCAATAATCCTCCCGGTTTTTATATTTTAATTATGAATTCAGGTCTTAAATCTATGCTTTTGCATCAGTCACTGCCAGTTGGGTCCGATGAACACAGCAAATAGCGCCGTGGCTGTGCAGGGCTTTCTTCACTGCCTCTGTGGCATGTGTGCAGATTGTGCAGTGAAAGTCTGATAGGAGAAAACCGTGAAAATTTTAAATGGCGTTTGGTGCGCCTGATTTGCTGCCCAAGCCACAGACTAGGGTGGGGAAACCAGTGCCCCAATACCATTCCAAATTCCTAGATTGCCTCCTGTCAGACCCTTACGGTTCAGGCAGTAGGGGAGGAGGATCATCCTGGGAATGAGGTCCAGGCCAAGGAATGGCCAAGATAATTAAGAGCCCTAAGTGGCATAGGAGGTCTGCTTTCTTAGGGCCAATCCTCCCCTTTTCCCTGTTGGGGAAGGTGGGCTGGGCAAGGTCCCACTTGATCATAGACAGGGAGGAGAGTGAGGAGAGTTCTTTGTTTCTCTGGGGAGAGAGGTGGGAAGGAGGAGAGGTTCTGGTTTCACCCGGGGGAGATGTCATGGCTATGCGAAGGCATGGAGCCCTGTACATGTGCGCATGATCTCTGGCCCCCTGCCTAGGAAAATTTTGGGGGCAAGGATCCATTATTTTTGTTTTTGCCATGATCCACTTGCCCCAAAGTTCACCAGCTGCCATTGTCGATCAAAATGGCTGATATGGGTGATCAAAATAGCCAAATATACCAAAACATTTAAAATGGTTTCAGAAGTTCAAAATAGACCATAAAAATGAATGCAAAGAAATTTAAACTGTCATAAAAGGGTGAAAATTATGCATACTATGAACTTTCCCCATGGACATATCCATCGCAGATAGTGATCTAAAGTGCACCTCAAGCGTTCAAGGCGCTACCCAATACCTAGGGCCCTACCAAATTCACGGCCATGAAAAGTGCGTCACAGACTGAAATCTGGTCTCTTGTGTGCCTTTGCCCTATACTATACAGATTTCACGGGGGAGCTCAGTGTTTCTCAGATTGGGGGTTCTGACCCAAAAGGGAGTTGCGAGGGTCACACGGTTATTTTAGGGGGTCATGGTGTGGCCACCCTTACTTCTGTGCTGACTTCAGAACTGGGCGACATACCATATCACGCTTCCCTTACTTCTGCGCTGCTGCTGGCGGCGGCTCTGCCTTCAGAGCTGGGCTCCCAGCCAGCAGCTCAACTCTGAAGGCAGCGCTGCCGCTAGCTGGAGCGCAGAAGTAAGAGTAGCGGTACCACAACCCCCCCTACAATAACCTTACAATTACAACACCGTGAAATTTTAGATTTAAATACCTGTAATCATGAAAATTTACAATTTTTAAAATCCTGTGACCGTGAAATTGACCAAAATGGATCGTGAATTTGGTAGGACGCTACCCATACCTCCTGTCTGTATTTGGCTTTGCACCTTTGGTACTTGTCACTGGTCCAAGTAACCTTTCTAATTCCTCCTTAACTTTTTTTTATATAAACATCCCTAAAAGTCAGACCAAGATTGGCATCTTTGTATTCATTGTCAAAACAGATGGCTAAACCTAGAATACTAAACACAGCAATTACATGAATTACTTGTTACTATTAGAATCTGTTACTGCATCTTTTCGGTAGTTTTGAGGTCACTTCTGTCAGATATACCCTATACAGGCCTGTCTCTAGTTTGTAGCATGCTATGACTTTACTCCACTGGTCAGCTAAAATCTCGAACCACTGTTCAAGGAAATGTGTATCAGTAAAATAGATTCCTCTTTTCTATTGCAGATCAGAATTGCACTCAAGGAGTGGCTTGAAGTTCAGAGATTTCAACAGGATCTGATAAATGCCCAGCATTATGATGCAGCATACATATTTAGGAAGCTGAGACTAGACAAAGCATTTCACTTTACAGCAATGCCCAGACTAGTGAGTTATTGCACAAAGAACATACTTCCTTTAGAAAAATCTCTGTCTGTCTTCTAATTGTTGTACAATGTTTAGTTAAAAATAAGAAATGGAGAGAGTTGAGCAGCACCAATACGCTTGGTTTGCAGTTACTTTTTTACAATACCCAAAAGTGCAGTAGGCACTTTACATAACTAACTCAGATAGAGGCTATTGAATTTAAAATGTAGTTATGATGGATTCAGATTACATCTAATGTTCTGCTTTAAAAAACTAGCAATTATTTGAAAAAATATTGCTTTGGCAGCTTTATGATTTATCATGGCTTTTAATCTGTAGAAATTAACATTGTTTTTCTGAGTTTTTGGTGGTGGCTTGAATTTCTGATAACAGTGAAGGAACATCTCTTTTTAAAAACAAATGTTTCACAAAAGCTATTAAATCATTGCTGTGAGACTAAATGCTTGAAAATAAATCTGTACAGCTGAACGTTGGGATCACCTTGTTTTCTAGATCCATGCCTTTCAGCATCTTTCATTTTTGATTGTCAAGTGAGAATTTTCATAGTTATAAACATTTCTTTTACCGTGTATTTTGAAATATACCCATCTTTATACAGCTGTCCTTCAGAACTAAGAAAAAGATGCGGGGAACTGAACTTAAAGAGGAATTTAAGGAGCTAAGTAACCGAGTAAGCAGGCTCATCACTAATGATGTGTTGGAGGTACAGTAACTTTTATGCTACAAAATAATTATTATTGTCAAATATAATTTCTTTAATTGCATAATCTGGTCCTCATAAAAGTTCTGTTACAGAAATGAGGACAATTATGTGTACCAACAGTTTTACCATCCGTTCTGAAACACTGCATCTATTTTCACGGAAGGACTACGATATTTGTATAATACCGAAAGTGTGCAAAGTGCTTCACAAACATGTTAAGAAGACTATTTCCTTCCAATCCAAATAGGCAGCTCTCAGACAAGGGGTGGTGGAAGTACACTGCAAAAGACAGTATTTTAATTTAAATGTTGACATCTATGTTTGCCCTGATTCAGCAATTGACTGCATACAAGTGGGCGTGTTGATGTACCAGCATACAATCAGCTGCAGGATTGGGGCCTTACTTTTTTTTCCTTCTTTTTACCCTTGCCTATTTTCCCATTTTAAATCGTGGTCATTTTACTGCTCTCCCTTTGTTTAGTATAGTGTTACCTGTACAAACTCTGGCACTGGAAGCCGGATAGAGTTTTTCTTCTATTACATGTCTAGTCATGTCGACCAACCGTCTGGTTCATGATGTCTCTTCCAGTTGGTTCCAGCAGCTTAGACTTGTACACGGGGAAGACCTGCCCCCCATCTCACGTTCTCCACTGCCACTGAAATCATTAACTAACAATGAATTGGGGAGAAACTTTAAAATGCCTCCAACAGTTGAGGATTGAAATCGCTGCCTGAAAATAATTACTTGATACCACTGAGGTTTCTTACTGAGTTTCCTTCTTCGTGCACAGTCTGTCTTCCTCTGCTTCTCCCCTAAGCTAGTGAGACCAGGATACTAGATTTTAATACACTCTTGTGACTTGCTACTACTGACAGTGATCAGCTAATTTTAACAACCTCCTTTTTAAAAGAGTTGCTAGTTCAATATACTGTGATTTAAAAAAAATTATATGCACAATGTCCATATTTAATCAGGAGTTTATATTCTTTAGTTGTTGCTACATCTTTTTTTTTTTTTTAAAAGCTTTTAACATTTTTCACTTCAGGAAATGATGAATGTTCATGACCACTATCAGAAAATGAAGTGTTTGATCTCCACTGACAAATCCCAGCCGGACAAGGCTCTGAGCTTGATAAAGGATGAATTTGTAATTAATATTAAGAATACGATTTTGGAATATCAGCAATGGCAACAGGACAAAATGGTAGGCTATAGTCTCTATTGTGCTGTGGCAGTGCAGGTCGTCATGAGTGTGTAGCATGTATTAAATGTGTGAAGACCTCTGAATATATTTTTCAAATGATAAATGAAAGCTTTGTCTTAAAAGATTTATAATGAGTGAAACACCAGATACATAATGTGTACACATTGCCTCTGTGGAAGTCTGAAGGATTAATGGTGCATGACTGCATAAATCCCTACTTAAAGCAATCTTGTAATGTAAATGTTAAATGTGCTACACACACTTACTTTGAAGTCACGCAAGGGCCATGATACTAGTAATTAAAATATTAGACTGAGGTAGAAGGGAATGTGGTTACTTTCCTAAAATAAATTGATCTTTTAAATTTTTAAATGTTGTCAAATAGAAACTGATATACCTGAAAATGTGCATAGTAAAGTTGACTTGTTCAAGTCCTGAATGAGTTTTAAATATCTATACTTTTTCAGAAATCCTCCTCAAAGGCTAAAGATAGTGAAGAAATGACTGACAAAAAGGAAGGAGGGACTTCTCAAGACTCAGAAGTAAGAAAAGTTTACTGGGTAATATCTTAATGTTATTGGACAACCTAATCAGCAGTCAGAGCCTGTCAATCTGTGATCAAGTCAGGAAGCTAAGCAGTGGTCAGGTCAAGCCTGGCCAGTACTAAAATGGGAGACCTTCAAATTTCAGAGTTCTGGAGGAAGTAGTGTTGATGTTCTTTAGCAAGTATGTTATTCTCTGTCAGTGGTGGACACAGGTCACAACTTGAGAGGTCCTGAACACTTTTCATGAAGAATGCCATGGCCATTCTCCACATTAGTAGGAGTTTGATCCCTACTATCCTGGCCAAATTCCCTTTTGGTTCTCCTGTAGTTTCAACTGAATGCTATACTCAATTTTTACAATAAACTGTTTCAGTGTTTAAATAACTGCTGGGTTGAATCCCAGAAAAAGTTACATTTCATAGAAAGGTAACTATTTGCATGTATGATTTTCTGCACTGTGGAAACCTAGGAAAACCAAAGTCACAGTTGCTTTACTCTGGAAATCTGATAGTTTGTTTTACTGAAATAAGGACTTTTTTAGCAGCACTTATTTTACACACTTAGCTCTCTACAAATGACACAGTTTGCAAGATGTATCTTTTACAATGACTCTTAAACAGTTGTTTCTTAATTTAATATTGCCCTTTCACTGAATGTTATATCAGGTAATATGGAAACTGCCTCCTTTGTACACTTTTATATTCCATCAAGTTGCATACTGTAAATATTGAGATTTATTCTCTTCCCCCATGCCCAACTCCACTATAGAGACATAGCGAGTGAATCTTATAAACAGGTTGTACATTCACAGAAGGGATCGCTGACTCATTTATCTTCATTCTCTAGTTGTTTTAAGATGCTAGTTTCTTTGAGCAAAGTGAGGCTGTCTTGCATTTTATTTCTGTTTTTCATAATTGATTATAAGGAAGGACCAGATCAATGGACAGCTAAGACATAGCAGCAAAGCTCTGTGGCCCTTGCTCAAACGCTTGAAAAATACTAAGTCAAAGTATTTTTGTATGAATGCAAGCAGACCTATAAAGCCCACAGTTGGCATGGTTCAGAGGATAGGAAAAGGGTGTGGGAGACAGGAGATCTGGGGTCTTTGACATGTGGTGACCCCTTGGGCATGTGTTGCTAGCTGTACTTAGTTTCCTTATATATAAAACAGAGATGATGATTCCCCAATTTAATAAAGCCCTTTGAGATCTGGGTGAAAAGCTCTGTGATTGCAAATAAAAATGAGCTTGGAAGAAAATTAAGGGGATATGCTGGAAGCTAACTTTTAGCTGGTTTTTTCTGACCTTTTTCTTGTTTCTTTACAGGGTTCTGAAAGAGCAAATGCACTGGCTAAAATCAAATACAAGTCCTATAATGCAGTTGCTGAGGTAAGTAAACAAATAGGTATATTTGTTAGGGAATTGTTAGTCATTCCCTTTCCAAAAACACTTGCATTGACGTAAATTGTAATATGGTGAGAAAAGTGATTTATCAAAATGGCACCATCTGCTTCAAGCCCTGCTCCCATTGGGCATTCGGTCTTACCCACCTTATTGGCGGCAACAAACAAGTTTTTACTACTCCTATTAGCTTTGCAGAAGCAATACAGGTGTTCAGAGAGTGAGCTGGATTCTAGTCTGGCACGTGACATAACTATTAGTAAAGTTCCTTATGTCAGAACTAATTGGCCTTCATTTAATATCTGTGCACACCCCTTTTTTCAGTGGAGTTACACAGGTAACTGAGAACAGAATTTTGTACACACTTTTTCAGAAAGCTGCCATGACTTTCCAACCCCAGGGCGAACCGTCTATGCTGGCAGTTAAAAACAAAGCAAAAAAACTCTCATACTTTCACCTGTCAAATGAAATGAGGTAAAATTTTCAAAAGTGACTTTAGAATTTAGGCTGCTAAATGCTTTTAACTTTCAAAGTCTTGGGAGTTTTAAAAAGTGAATGGGACTTAAGCTCTGAAGTCACTTTTTGAAAATGGGACCTAGTCTTTTAAGTCACTTAAGTACTTTTGAAAATGTTATTCTAGATCTGATTAGACATTGAACCAATGAACATGAAATCCCCTGATCTCCATTGGATTGGTTTTTATAGTAGACCCACACTTAAACATTTTTCTCTCCTAATTTGGGGAATGTGGATGCACATATTTATATCTTGATTTTAGTAGTGTTTTGAATATACAGTAGTAAAACTTTGAAGGTATAGTGATGTTGCTTTCCCAGGCAACTAAAAGAAAAATGGAGCCCAAAACTGGACAGTAAAACCCCTATTCGGTCTTGGTAGTCTGTCTTTGTTACACAAGAAATGTTCTTAACATTTGCTACTTATTGCTTAAAAATAACTATAAAAAAATCAAGGCTGATATAGCACCAGGACGGTCTTTGTGTTCTTGAAAATAAGTCTCACAATGTGTTCATTATTTGAATGTCATATAAGCACTGTTAGTCTGAAATGGTAACACTTTAGGAGGTGGGATTTTCAAAAGTGCCTAAAAATGTTGGGTGCCCAGTCCTTAACTACTATGGACACTTACTGTCATTATTGTCTTGTCTGTTTAAACCAGGGGTTCTCTCCCCGTCCTCTCCCCCACTATAAAAATTCCATGGCCCACCTGTGCCACAACTGTTTTTCAGTAGATTAATAGCTAGGGCTGGCTTTAGGAGGTAGCAAGCAGAGCAGTTGCGTAGGGCCCCATGCCAAAGGGGGCTCCACGAAGCTAAGTGGTTCGGGCTTTGGTTTCAGCCCAGGGAGGAGGGGCTTGGGCTTCACCTTTCTGCCCTGGGCCCCAGTGAGTCTAATGCTGGCCCTCCTCTCTAGTTTATTTTGGTGGATCCCCTGAAACCTACTTGCAGCCCCCCAGGGGCTCCCAGACCCCTGGTTGAGAACTGCTGTGTTAAGTAGACTGTGATTACTGGCATAGTAGTGGTGACAGAAAGATGTCTTAACATGTCTTACACTCAGCAAGTAACTGGATCTTGTTAGGAAAGTATCACTATTGTGTGTATGTAGTAATTAGATTCCTTTCTGTTGCTTAATGGATTTGTTTGGATTTTAGGCCTCCAAATCAAGAAGGCACCGTCAAGTTAAACTAGAATCTTCTGAATCTGGGTCTGATCAGGGAAAAATGAAAACCCCCAGGTGTAAAAGAAGCAGAGAGAGGTCACAGTTGACACAGAAGAGAAACTCATTGGAAACCAAAGGTAATTCTTCATTATATTAGTGGTACTGGAGATGCTAAGGAACTCTTCTCTCCCCTCTGTCAGGCAAGGCAGTTGGTTATAGTTCTTATTAGCAGATGGAGACAGGAAATAAAGCAAAGGACTTGAGATACCACTTCCCTTTTTAAATGCACCTGACTTGTCAGATCTTGCTCAGTTGTCTTCTCTCCCTCAGCGGGTGGAAAGAGCTGTGGCTAAGCTAAAGTGAACTCTTATCTCTGTTCTTGGTAATTCTCCCACCAAACATTTCTTTATTGCCAGTAATGTAGGGTAGAAGGCTTTTTATTTTTATCTACTCTCACCAGTGTGTTAGATGGCAAAGGCAGACTATCAACTGTTGTTCTTTCTCTTCTTCTGGGCAAGGATTGGCCTTTATGAAAGTAGGAGCAGTGTTTGAATGTTGATAGCTCCAGAGGGCCTAGCCCAAAATCCAGAGAAAATAGCCTGATTTTCTGCTTTTGTTTCTATCTTCTGTTTTTGTTCCTGTTGTGTTTTTGAATGAATATCATCTGTTTAATAATTCAGTATTTATTTGCTCTTTAAGCTTATTAATGAAGATACTTAAGAAGATTACTTAATAATACAGATGTCTTGAGTACCTCACCAGATGTGTCCCACTCCCATCTGAAACGCACTGCCATTTATTTTTGCCCCTCATTAATGGTACTTCAGTCAATTTTCAGTTCAGGTGACACTGTTGGCATCCAATGCATTGCTTTTGAAGAGGACTGAAAACATTGCTGTGACGGGTTTGATCACAGAAACCCCCTTGGGAGCTGCCACCTGATGTGCCAAGACTACCTCTGCTCCTGCTTTCCCTGCCAGCTCAGGACTCCAGTACCCTGTCTTGCTGAGCCAGACACTCCCATCTGCTCCAACAAAGACCCAGGGTCTGAATTACTTGCCCCAAAGCTGCAGGTTTATGTGAAAACAGCTCACAGAAGTGTGCTTGTCTTTAGCACTCAGATGCCCAACTCCCAATGGGGTCTAAACCCAAATAAATCCGTTTTACCCTGTATAAAGCTTATACAGGGTAAACTCATAAACTGTTCGCCCTCTATAACGCTGATAGAGATGCACAGTTGTTTGCTCCCCCAGGTATTAATACATACGCTGAGATAATTAATAAGTAAAAAGTGATTAAATACAGAAAGTAGGATTTAAGTGGTTCCAAGTAGTAACAGACAGAACAAAGTAAGTCACCAAACAAAATAAAATAAAATGCGCAAATCTATGTCTAATCAAACTGAATACAGATAATCTCACCCTCAGAGATGCTTCAGTAAGTTTTTTCCTCAGACTGGACACCGTCCAGGCCTGGGCACAATTCTTTCCCCTGGTACAGCTCTCATTCCAGCTCAGGCGGTAGCTAGGGGATTCTTCATGATCGCTCTTCTCTTTCCTTTGTTGTCTTCCACCCCTTTATATATCTTTTGCATAAGGCGGGAATCCTTTTGTCCCTCTCTGAGTTCCCACCCCCTCCTTCTCAATGGAAAGACACCAGGTTAAAGATGGATTCCAGTTCAGGTGACCTGATCACATGTCACTGCAAGACTTCATTACCCACTTGCCAGCACACACATATACAGGAAGACTAAGGCTATGGCTACACTGGCGTTTTACAGCGCTGCAACTTTCTTGCTCAGGGGTGTGAAAAAGGTAAAACACAGCCATCTGCAGACAATGGTCCTGGTTAATGGGAGTCATCAAGATTCCAAACCACCATTAATGGCCCACATTTTGCATAATTACAATAGGCCCTCAGAGTTATATTTCATATTTCTAGTTTTAGATACAAGAGTGGTACATTTATACAAATCGGATGATCACACTCAGTAGATTATAAGCATTGTAATGATACCTTACAAGAGACCTTTTGCATGAAGCATATTCCAGGTACATTATATTCACTCGTTATCAAATTTTTATAAAACCACATAGACTGCAACTGTCACAATTGCATTGTTGTTTTTATTATTTTTTTACAACTGGCCATTGACTTAATACAGCTTTGAGATTATACTATGCAGATGAAGAATGCTGCTTTCCCTTTATTTTTTAGTAGTTTAACACAGGTCAACAGTTCGTAACTCTGAGGTTCTACTGTATTAGAGATCAGGGTGAGGTCAAGTATGGGAACCAGATTACCCCAGTTCTGCCTACTGCAGGATTCTTACACCTTCCTCTGAAGCATCTAGTACCTGCCGCTGTAAAAGACAAGATACTGGACTAGATGGACCTAGGATCTAATCCAGTCTGGCATTGGCTTATCTTCCTACATTCCAAAAATAATTCAGTAGTTCGGTAAATTAATTCACTTAGCACCCTAAGATGTACTGTATATACTCATTCATAAGCTGAATTTTTTTAGTAAAAAAGGGAAGCACCAGAGAAGGGGGTCGGCTTATGAACGGGTATAGAGAGGGAGAGCTGGGACACAGCCCCTCCCCGCAACAGAGGGAGCAAGGAGAAGCAGCACAGCCAGCAGAGCCAGAAGGGAAGAGGCGGGGCCAGAGTCTCTCAGCTTCTGGCCACGCTGCTCTCCCCCCAGCCTCCGAAGCAGCTGCAGTTCCGGGGCTGGCAGGCTGCAGCCGTGCCACTCGGCCCCGCCAGAGCACGCTGCGGCTGTGCTGCCCAGCCCAGCCTGCTGGAACATGCTGCGGCCGCGACGCCCGGTCTGGCCCGCTGGAGCAGGCTGCGGCTGTGCTCCTCAGCCTGCCGGAGCAGCTCCACCCAGGCCAGAAACATCCTCCCCTAGCCCTCCCCAGATAAGGTGGGAAGGGATGGGATGGGGAGAGTGGGGGGGTCCTGGGCTAGGGGTGGGGTCATGTGGGGGGTGGTCAGAGGGGTTACTCCACTGACCCCCAGCTTCTCCCCCGCAAAAAATTTCCCCACCAGTTGCTGTCCTGGCCCATCAGGGTAAGCAGCTGCGCACCAGGACACTTTGTTTACTTAGGTTTACTTCCGGGCTTGTGGACGCTCGAGGTAAACAAACCATCTCGGCCTGCCAGTGGCTTATCCTGATGGCCTGGGAGCCAAAGTTTGCTGACCCCCGAATTATAGGGTCAGCTTATGAACGGGTTATAAAAATTTTCCGTTTTTACTTATCCATCTTGGGGGGGACGGCTTATAAACGAACCAGCTTATGATCGAGTATATACGGTATATCATTTGGATCAGCTCATTTTTTCGTAGTCATATTTTCCAAGTATTTTCTTACATTCCTCCAAGTATATTCTAATCAGGGTTTCATTAGGTGTCCAACCTTATTTTATGAAGACAGTGTTGAAAAACTGAAGTATTGCAGCCATTTTATTTATGAATTTAATTCCCGTGCTTTTATTTGGTCTGATGGATCTGTAGCACTTTATCTGCAAAACCTCTTTATTCCCTGTAATCTCTCTAGCTAATGTTAACTAACCCTGCATTCATCTTTTCAGAGTCTTTGTTTAGTATATTTTATGTTTATATTACCAGTTATTGCTCAAGAGCCAAATTAAGGTTTTGTGAAGATGCTAAAAACTCAGTACGAACTGATGTCTGTTTTTCTAATCAAGATCAAGTAAGCAATTTGTCTGGATTGTTTGTACCTGAGAGGCAGAGACTTTAATAACTGGTGGCAATTTTCCCCTGACTATTTCTTTGTTTCAAGCAATAAAGAAGGAAGCTGTTACTCGGAATCGTAGGATGCCTGTAATCACAGAAGAAGAGAATTCCAGTGAAGAAGGTATGACTGCAATCCCAACAAATTTGAGACATGTTTATTGTAACTAATTACTGTCTAGTGTTTCTTTTTGCAAATATATTTGTGGTTTTCAAAGTACAGAAGGTGCAGTTAAGAGCTCTACCTACTGTATTATAACTACTGCAGTTCTGGTTTTCCAGTCTTGTCACAGCTAGACTATTTCTAAACCTGTAAGTTTATTTCCATAAAATAGCACAAGGCTTTAGCAGAGCACCCTGCAAGCACATGAATAATCATTTTAAAAGTCTTGTAGTGCCATATGCATCTTTTCCCATGTTCTTAATATAGTGCAGTCAGAGCAAAGATTGCACTCCGTTAAAAGGAGGATATTTATTCTTGGCAAATGCTGTAGGTGAACTTACAATTCTTATATTTATTAAAAGGGAGAATAAAAGCTCTTTCAAGTGTTCTCTCAGTTGCTAAAAAGGTGCCTTAGTTGTATGGTAGAGCAGCCTCTGGACTAACTTGCAGTGGAGGCCAAACTAGCCCTGGCTAGCCTCTCAGTCGGAGGACATAAAGGGGCCATCCTACCTCAGCCAAACCAAGGATCAAGAGCCAACCCTATATACATGGAGTAAGGACTTTTTCTGCAATATTAGAGACTGCATGGCAAGGTTGGGATGTGATTCCATTAGTAATGGAAAAGAGGGAAGATGATTTTGATATCCTTCATCTGTTTGTGTCATGAAGGAGAACATAGCTTTTACTTGAAAGTAAAAGACAACCTTAGAGTAGAGAACTTCCACTGGAGCTGGTCCATGGAAATTACAGTTGCACTTAGGGCATTACTAAAATCTCTGTTTTCACTGAGTTGACCAGTGATCAGAAGCTTCCAGGGCAAATTTTCCACTGTGCCCAAGCAGAGCTCAGTCATGGTGGAACTGGGGGCTGTCTGGAAATGGTGGCAGCTCCCTGATTCTGTGCCACCCAGTGCAAGTTAGAGCTGCTCCTTCATGCCTGTGGAGGATTGAGTATAGCAGCAGTACTTGCCATCCCCCTACCCTGACATGGGTGGGGTGGGGTGGGTAGGTATGGCAGGAGTAGAGGAGAAACCTTCTATTGGTTATCTCCAGCCACATTAAGATCACTTTGTACCTTGTACGCAGTGCAAAGTGGACTTAACGGACCAGTGAATCTAACCATTAATATGAAAGGCTAAGGTGAAACTGAGGCTACCTAAAATAAGTGGGAAAGGTGATGGATAATTTATTGACAGGCTTTAACTAGTGCCACATGTGGGGTAAAGCTCTTGTGGGGTCAGCATTATAGAAACTGTATTAAAATAGATTAATAGAGATGGAGCATGTATGTGCTTGCCTTTTTAAAGGGCAAGGAATTTTCAAAGAGCTGAGGAGAGACTATTTTGTCTGAAGACCTCATTAAAAATGTAATTGTAGCTAACTTTTGAGTGAATGTGTTTAGTTTATTGACTTCAAATTTAAACTATAGTAATGCAATTAATTGCAATTCAGGTGAGTTACTAATATGCCCTTTAAATGGTCATGTGGATTAAAAGAGCACTTGTATTTCTAAATCAGGAAGAAATGGAGGACAGCTTTTTTTTGGATAATGCCAGTGGTAAACAGACTTGTTACAGATACATGTGCAATCAATTTAGACATGAAACATTTGGGATCCAGTCTTTTAAGCACTTAATGTGCGAAACTTAGATTGAGATCATTGGGGGTTCATGTGCAGAGAGCTTGCAAGGTATTTATATATCTGAATAAACTTTAAAGTACAATAATCTGATCCCATAGTGCTAGTTGATACTTGAAGGGGTACGCTGTCTCTAATATTTTGAATAAAATTGTATACGGTAGCTTTTATTTGACTTATTTATAAAAACAGTCATCTGACAGGCTGTTGAACTTCTTGTATCTCTTCTTGTCAGATCTTCCACGTCCTAAAAGGAAAAGAACCCGTTAAGAAAGGATCAAGTTGAAGAATTTCTTATATGAATTAGACTGTTAGATTTTGTTATGGTCAAATATAAATGTCTAAAACAACTTTGTAAATGATTTGATTTGGTCATCTCTATGCAGGCATATCAAATGAAGTCACAAAGCAAAAATTACTCCTACTAGAACTACAGGTTATGTGGAACTGTAAATAGTGACTTCGGTATATGTTGTGTAATGGTACAACCCAGGTGAAGGTAGAGTGGAATGGAAACTTTTTCTCCCAAAAACTAAATTGTATATGTGTCCTTGTACCTGTATTGGAAATGGTGAGGGGCAGAGGGCTGCTTTTTTGTTTTGTCTAGCTTTTGCCATGAGTTGACATTTATAACTCATTCCCATTTAATACAAATAACTATCTTTTAGCAGAATCTACTAAAAGAACACTCCGAGTATGTACACTATATGGATGACTATTTTGTACGTGTGTTATCAGTACTCTTACAACCTCTGAATGTAACTATTAATTTTGTAATGTTAGTGACCATTTAAGATTACTAAGTGCAATAAATGATTTTTTTACTAAGTTTGTATGCTCCGTTTCATTGTGCACAACGTTTATAAACGTGGCCTGCTTTTAGCTCACAATGACATGATGTTTAGGAACTTGAGCTCAGATTCAGTTGTGATAAAACTTTTTACTGGATTCTGTCTCGTGATCAGTTTTAAAAGCACAGTTGTAACAAATACAAACCTGTGGCATGAAAATCCACTCACCGGTGGCACCCGAGCTGTTTTTCCTCACAAAATCAGGGTGGGTGCCTAATCTGTTTCTTGTCTTTGTGACTGCACATTTAACTTCCCAGTGTTGCTCAATGCAGTGTTGAGCTGTCTTCCATTCTGAAAGACAGCTCTGGTGCCTTAGCTCTTATAAGTTTCCCAGCAGCACTGTGAAATTGACAAGACTAGCCGTTTTCATTGCTGCTGTTCAGAACTAGAGCTGAGGGAGTCACTCACAAGAAACAGCCTATTTGAACTCAATCATATTTATCAATAAAAAAAAGATTGAGCAGATCGAGTACTCAATTTTTTTTATTTGATTTATAATTTCAGACTGTTTATTTCATAGATTTAACATCTGCATAACTCAGATTTTTAGAATATTTTAAGTTGTGCTTACTGGAATTGGGGTTTTCTCTTTGCAGTGGTAATTGTGTTCTTCCAACACGCACACGGATTCATTTAGAAATCTCCTTTGTTCTAGTAATTTGGGTTAGTCAAATGTTTGATGAAAGCAAACACAAATGAGGCATGAACATAACTGAAAGAATTAAAAAATTTGACCAAACTCTTCTGGAAAATGTTCTGCATTATTCTCTCTGGTATCATGACCTCCTGAAATGGAAAAATAGAGGCTGGGGGAGGTGTAGAGGACTGTGCACAGTCAGGAAACAAGATGGAGCAAAGTAGTAGATCTTGATCCCCTCCTTGAAAGTCAGGAAGGTGGGAGAGCACCCATGCTTTCCAGCAGATGTTATATGTGAAGCTGCACTCCTGACAATTAGTATCAGTTTCATCTGCTAAGGAGCTCCCTCCAGCATCCTTGTAGGAGTTGCAGCATCTGTCCCTTTCCCAGCATCCAGGGGTTGGTGCTGGGCCTGGCTTCCCACCAGTGTGATATTATTAGAGGGAAGGCAACTGGGAGATTATGCATCTTCTGCATTATCCTCTAGCTAGTGCATATCTTTTTTTCCCCCAAGTGGAAAGAAACCTAAAAATGAACTTGACTAGGAAGAGCCTAGTTTATTTAATTGTCTGTGTTCAGAGAACTGTAGAAATTAAACAGCACAGATAGGGGCAGCTTGTGCTCCAGTGGAATTACCATGGATGGGGCAGGAAATCAGACCTACATTCTGTTCCTTATTGCCCTTGATGAATGGATATGCAGCAAGTTACAACTTCTGTATCTCAGGCATTTAAAATTTACATAAAGAAGACCCAAATGTGCACTTCTAAATCTATCCTTAATTATATATTTATGAATGGTATAATGCTAGAAATGAAAATACCTGGTAAGAAATCTTAGTGTTCATTCCTCTGAAAGGCTGGAGACCAACAATTCAGAGTCTTCTTATTGCCAAACTATACATAACAAGCTGGCCTTTCTTTTAAAAAAGAGAAGGTGGTTTCTAACTAGAAGACAATGGGAAGTGAGGGCAGGTAAGTTTGTCTTGGCAACATATGTTTGAGATTCTTCATGCCAACATGTGTGCTTTTTTTTACGAGTTATAAAATACTCTTTTCTTGATATGAAAACTAAACAGCACTAAGATGGGTGTTTTAAACTCTTTAACAAAATGTATTTTTTTTAAATATCAATTATTAAAGTACAGGTGCTCGTTCTGTAAAGCAAATGAAAGCATGTGAGTGGGAGGAAGAAACTAATGGTCATATCAGCACAAAGGGCAAGAGCTGGGAGGCAGCTAAGAATTAAGATTCACAACACTCGGCCAACGTTGGAAAAAATTTCCTTTCTTAAGTTGCAGTCTGATCTGGTGAAGCACTCTCCCCTCGACATAGCTTCTGCCTCTCATCGAGGTGGATTAATTATGTCGAGGGGAGAGTGTAGACACCGCATTAAGTTGATGTAAGTTGTCATTCAGGGGGTGATTTTTACACCCCTGAGCGATGTAACTTACTCATGTCAACTTAAGCAGTAGCGCAGACAAGGCCTAAATGTAATGTATTTTTATTAGAGCTGGATGAAAACAAGACATAAATAATTGTGAATATTTCATCAAAATTTTTCTCCTGTTTTTTGGGTCAAAATTTGAAATCTGAAAAATTTCAACCACCTTTATTTTTTTAGTCGTCCGAGGGGCCATTTGTGTGGGAGGAATGACTCCATACAGGTCAGTTTCAACTCACAGAGTTCCTCTGGAGCAAATGGGGCAAAGATCTAGGGAAAATACCTTGCTCTACACACCTACGGAGTCCAAATATAAAAGAAGTTTCTACAAAGCTGGGGGAAGAGGATAAGGATGCTGCTTTTTAGGCTCAAATCCCTCACCCCCACAGAGACCCCATGTGTCAGGGTGGCTGACTCTTTAAAGGGAGTCAGGGCCCACTCTCCCCTCTTAAGGAGAAGGAACCAGTCTCCTGGATGGATGGCAGCTAACTGACTAATGGATCTGATCAAAGGCTACAAAGCTCAGTCTGAAGGAGAGTGCTCCTGGACAGAGACGTGAGGCGGGCTGCTGCCTGGCTTACAGTACACAGGCCCCAGACGGACGGCTGTAGGACTCCTGACCCAGGCAGAGCAGCAACCCTCCCGCTAGCACCCCTCTCCCTCAGAGCCGTCTCCCTCTAGGGCCACCCTCTTTCTAGCTGAGTGCCGATGGCCTTTTTGGGTGCAAGGCCAAACAGCCACCTCGGCAGCTGATTGCGCACAGGTGGGCTGCGGCTTCCTCCTAGAGGCCCCTCAGGGACAGCCTGGGCCCTGCTCCCCCTACCAGGAGCCTGATTCCCCCCCCCTTCCCCCACCCGCAGGGGCTTTCCCAGAGGCCAGGAGCGGCCTGGTTAGGGGATGGGTTGGGCCAGGCCCAGCAGAGGCTCAGTCAGCAGCGGTCCCCAGCCCTGGCACTTGTCCCCCGCTGCGCTAAGACGGCTCCTGGGCGCCGCTCGTATGGAGCGGGCGGGCCCCGATTCTGCCCAGGAGCCCCCGCGCTGGGCCATGGCTGGTGACCGCAGCCCGGCCGTCGTCCCCGTGCAATGGGCCGGGCGGGGGCTGCAGGGCGGCGCCGCTGGCAGGTGTGGGATGCTCGGCGTGCGCCGGCCGGCCGGGGCGGCTGCTGCGTGTGTGTGCGCGCCGCGCCCGGGCTGCGGCGTCTGGCCAGGCGGCGCCGGGAGCCGGCGGGGAGAGACGCGCTCGGCTGCGGGCTGGGCCATGGCGACCGACAGTAAGTGCGGGGGCCGGGGCTCTGCCTCCCCCCTTCCCCTCTGTCGGGGTGTCAGCGCCGAGGTTCGCAGGAGACGCCTCTGCCCCGGCCGGGGAGCTGCGGCGATGGCTGGCTGGGACCGGGGGAATCGGCCTGGGCAGGGATGAAACCCCCGCCCCGCCTCTCTACTGTCCCCTTAGCATCACCTCCCTCCCCCTAGCCCTAGTGCCAGCTGCTCTGGCCCTCCCCAGCCCGTCCCGGCCCCAAGCCCTGCCACCCCCACCCCCCTGCCCAGCCCCTTCCGGCCTCAAACCCCTCAGGCCCTAGTTCCTCAATCCCCTTTGCCCCCAGCTGCCTGCAGCCCTCTCTGTGCCCCCAACCTCCCTTAGCCTGGCTGCAACCCTCCCTCCTCTCAGCCTTCCTGCTCCCCCAGCTCCCCCATGACTTCTACACCCTTCTGAGCAATGGGGAGCTCTTCTCTTCCTCTTCTTGGGGGAGAGGGAGAATTCACTGGCATGTCCCTGGCCCTTTGCCTTCCCCTTTCTCCAGGCCTCTTCCCCTGCCCTCCACCTGCTGCTAGGCATGAAAACTGCCTGGGCTTTATAGGCAGGGCTCAGGGAAGCCCTGCTAAAAAAGGCAGGATTTTCCTGTGGTCAGTGGATGCCCCACCAGAGCAGAGAGAAATGTCACCTGGTAGGAGAAGGGTTTCCAGTGATAGTGATGTTGGCTGTAAAAGGCAGGGCCTAACACTGAACTTTTGCCTTTCGGGCCCATCCTGCTGCTAGAATGAGGAAAATCAGGCCAGCCCAGTTCAGCTACCTGCCAGGAAGAGGTTTTTTTTTTATGGCTGTGATTTTATATTTCATTTTATTTGAGAGAATAAGATTTAGGTCCAAAGGCATTGATTGACTTCTACACTCGGGGGTATGTGTGTGTATGGGGGGGCAAATTCCATGCCTTCCTGAAGCTTGCAGTTTGGGGGGCAATGCCCCCCTGCCTCCTCAAACTATACCCATGCTTAGGCCTATCTGTTTAGTATATGCCCCCAAAAGTGGGTTGCCTCACAGTCTAGCTCAGTGGTTCTCAACCTGTGGCCCAAGGACTGCTTGCGGCCCAATCAGTACAGAGCTGCGGCCCATGTGATATCCTCAGGGCCATACACGTAGTATTGGATGCAGCCCACGTTAACACGTTGTGGGCCGCATATGTGATCCACAATGGTAAATAGGTTGAGAACCACTGGGCTCCTGAGAGACAGGACTGCTTCTTACTCTTTGTGTGTATAACTCCTAGCGTGATGGGATCCTGATCTCTGGTGCAGCCTCTAGAGACTAACTTTACTAATATTGGTCAGCTTCCCTTTTGGCTCATCTGTTACAGTTGTTGCATCGTGACAGGAACGGTCTAGGCTTAAGTTTTGGCTGCAGTAGTTTTATATGCACACATATGATGTCCACCTCTGTTAACTGATATAAGCCACTCTAGTGTTTGGTCACCAGGTTCTGCGTCGTGCCACCTTTGATTCAGGGCAGTACTCTTAGCTTTTAGAATCACCATCCCAATCTTTGTCTTCATATTTTATACAGAAACAGACATTAATACTTGTTAAAGGTTGTTTAACTGATCCATTGCATATGGCCTGATTGAA